CCCCCCCCCCCCCTCCCTTTCAGCCAAATGACATCGTAACACTGTGGCGTTCACGAAAAATCAATTTCTCGTCGCCGTGAATTAATCCCGTTCATTTCCCGGGGGAACTACTGGAGGATTAGCAATTCACGTCAATGTCTAGTCATTTCTGGGGTCGTGAACCGAACTCATCAAGCATTCATTCGATTACGTAAGAAAGCTTAATCGAGTGGACTTCGAAATAATGGAGTTTTTCGCCCCTTCGTTGTTCACGTTTTTCATCAACTTTCTTCAATCTCGTTTCATTTTACAATTCTCAAGTTATAACCACTTCAACTGTTCTAATAGGAGAAAGGAGTGAGAAAAAAAAATGAAAAATGAGTCTGAGGTTGAATATTTTATGTCACATGAACACGGAGAGAAATGTTTAGTAAGATTCAGATAAAATTAGGGAACGCTTTGGAAAAATTCCGTGACAGTTCCGTAAAATTTCCTACAACCACATTGCGCTCCGGAATTACGGAAAAGATATGTAATTTTCATTGAATATTTCACTCCGTGAATAAACTATATGAATGGAATGATTTATGAAATAAGAACGCCTCCCAATTTCATTGAAACTCACTCACTGCACACTTCCACTTTAATAATACTTTAATAATACCTCATAATAATTAATATATACACATTAATTAACATCGATCATCAAAATAACCGAGCGATCCCAGAATCACTCCCAAAAAGTGCGCCAGTCACTCGCAATAATTCAAATAACTCGACACACCTCGTGCAGACGTGGGTGGAAAATAATCCATTCCCCCAGTGCATAAAAAAACACCTATAAAATAATATAATACAATCATCGCAAAAATACATTTGCAAGAGATCCTGAGTTGACGAGAAAGTGTCATATCTGCACTGATGCAATAATAATGAACCCCTAACGACGATAATTCTCAAAAATTCGTCGTTACAACTGGAACATTGTCGCCGGCTCTCAGAGTGGCCGAGGATATTTCGTTGCTCTCGAGCCATCGAGCAACTTCCGGTGGTATCTGAGGCCTCACATGCGTCACCTATGGAGTCACAACACTCTTGAGATAAAAACTAAAGCCAACAGGATTATGAATACTCCATTAGCATTGATGTAATGGAATTTTTACCCATTTTATCATAATCAAGTGTACCTGTGTTACGCCTACGTCAACAGTTCCATTATTCTTGACTCCACGCTCAAGTAGTGCAGCCATAACTGTCTCAGCATTGCAATCCAATAATCGCTGACGGCATATTGCAATTGCACGTACAAAATCATCACGTGGAGTGATGAACTTGTGCTCCATAAAAATGGACTTATCATCCCAGTAGATAATCTGCGAGAGTTGGAAAAAATATCAAGTCAATCGATCAAGCATCGTTAACTTTTTTATTCAATAGAATACTGCTGATTCCAGTGAATTCCATCGTATTCCCTGACTCGCGTTGTAAAAAAGGAATAAAAAGAATGCATAAATCGCACAATTTCAAACGCACACGTTTAATTAAAAGTGAACACGTATTTGCTCGAAAACACTTGCACCAAGGACTCGTAATACGTCTTTAGGAATTATTTAAAACAAAATTGCCAATGCATTGGTGTGCGTTGATCCTAGTTGAATCATAATGACCGATTCATGTTAATCAATTGCCCGTTGAACACACGTTTGCCTATTGCCTTGAGACGCTGCCATGCGTCGTACGAGTAGAAAGAAATAACGAGAAAGATGACAAATTGAATTTAATGAAGGAGAGGGGCAAAACCCACGTCAGTTTAACGGGAAAATAAATACTCCAGTGGTTTGAAAAAGATGAAGGACTTGGTACTCTACTTCGTGCAAATACATTTGTGTATTTCCTGGCAAACTTTGCGAAACTGATGGGACCAGCCAGTCATTGTTGACGAGAGGTTCGAGGAAACGTTCGTCGATGGGAGATAATTAATCACTTCATGGATATTTATTTTATTTTTTCAACGACTCGATTACTTTTTTCTTCTGTGTCTACTGTATTATTGAATGTTAACATTTGATTATGACCAAAACGGAATAATTGATGCTGCAGATTATTTATTTAGGTGATATTGTTGAGTATTCGTTCGTTTCGATCTTTTCTTCATCGTTATTCTTTCTTCTCGTGTCTTTTTATTATTTATTTCGTCCCGATTCTTTGAGGAAGTTATTATTTATTGAAAGCGGCATTTGTTTAAGAATATTCACCTTTGACTTGACCATGTAGATAGAGAAGGGCTTCAGGTATCTTCGGTATCTTATGGTCGCAGCTCCTTGAACAACTCCTTTACCCTGCGAACATATTTCACGGTAGAGGCTCGTTCTCTCGTAAAAATCGGCCCTCGCAAAGTCCAGCTCGCGCAGGTATCTCGCATTGTTCATGTGGTACAGGAGTGTGTCGACATCCGTCGTTGTGCACAATCCTAAAATTAATTATCGTAATGACAGAGAGAATATAGACCAGAATGAATTGAACTTCCGCAGAAGAATTTCATGAGCGAATTTTCGGATTTATTCTGTTGCGAAAATGAATAGACTGGATTTTTTCTCCTCTAGAGAGAGTTTTTATTTCATTTTCCGCAAAAATTTTAGCCTCAGTTTCTCGAGATCTGCGAAATGGCAGTGTCAATCAGAATCTGGAATCTGTGAAGTCAAGAGTTTTGGAGAAATTGAGAATAAAGAATTCATTCTAGAATTCATGTCACTGACCAATTCCGTAAGTGCGTGTAACGATACAATAGTTTTTTTTTTAAATTCAATAAACATAATTTGTTATCAATTAAACATAATATTCAATTGAATTTTGAACAGATTGAACATTTTGAACAAAAGTTGCTTGAATTTTTCTAATTGGCGATAATTCTCATTGTCATATGGGCCGGAAACTGATAATTTTAGAGAATATTCAACAATTCAAATGATTTGTCAGCACCAAAATATCTTTAAAAATTCAAGGAAATTAGTCATTTTTTTTAATTCCAATATTTTCATTTGAAATTTCAGGAGTAATTTTAAGATTATAATTAACGATATAATTGAAATTATCATCGAAATATCATTACTACGTTAAAAATACGAAAAAAACTATTCAATTGAATTTTTAATAGATCAAAAATACTGAACAACAATTGCCGGAATTTTCTAATTGTCAATAATTTTCATTTTCATATCGTCGTCCTACACCCAAAGGGTCGTAACAGCTACGCTCAAACACACCACTTACGCCCCTTTGGCTATCCAGCGACCATACGGTCCAGAAACAGCCAATTTCCTAGAATACTCAACAAATCAATTGATTTGTCAGTACTAAAAACCTTGAAAAATTCCGAAAAATTAGTGATTTTAAAAAATTCCAACATTCTTATTTGAAATCCCCCGAGTAATTTTCTAAGTGTGTAATCAATAACATGATTGTCACGAAGTTAGAAAACGAGAGAAAACAGCGACCATACGGTCCAGAAACAGCCAATTTCCTAGAATACTCAACAAATCAATTGATTTGTCAGTACTAAAAACCTTGAAAAATTCCGAAAAATTAGTGATTTTAAAAAATTCCAACATTCTTATTTGAAATCCCCCGAGTAATTTTCTAATTGTGTAATCAATAGCATCATTGTCACGAAGTTGGAAAACGAGAGAAAACTCGGGGAAAACCCCCCATCTGAAAACAGTTCGTGGCAAATCTAATTAACCCGAACACTGAAACGTGCGACTGGACTATCGATCCCCGAGTTGATATTTCCAGTATCCAGACAACACACACCCTCGGGTCAAGGCCTCCCTCCAGTGTATCAACTCCCGCATCCATAAGGATTCAAGATTTGCAATCGGTGTCCCTTATCCATGTCACCCGTTCAAGAATAGCCCCCACTGAAAGGGGGATGAAAGTGATATTTACCGTAGATGGTGGTCTCGTCGAGAATGTGCACTGGTTTTTTGCAGAAGCGGGCCAGTAGGACCGTGACGAACATTCTCAAGAAATAGTGCACCTCGACAAGCGCATACAAAAGCACTACCGCGCCCAGGGCGCCGGCGAGCAGCCAGCACGCCAGCATAATTTCTCCCTTAATCCTTCGCCTGATCCTCTTTATTTACCCACTCGTGTCAAGTGTGCTGTACACACGCCTCGGGTAATGCTCCAGATGAGAGACACGTATCGATTCACTCGTACCACAAGCAAATGCACGTGAAGCTTCAGTCTCTCGTGGACCACCCGGAGATGCCGGCATCGTCGTCAACCCCCTGGTAATTACACTCCCCTATTCCCCGCTGGTGTCGTCTGGGGCAATTGAATTGTCCTCTCAGTCGTCGGCGAGAGCCAGTCGATCACTCGGAAAACAATCGAATGCGCAAATTGGATCAATGATTTTTGCGGCAACCAGGTAATTCAGTGGAGGGCAATCGAAAGCAGTCTTGGTCGCGATTCCTTGCGCGAAGGTGAAAGTGATCGGGCAACAAATTCACGAGGGGGCATGTACCGAGACGCATTGCGCAGAGGTGAACTGGTGTCAAGCCCCTGTTGTTTATCCGCTCGACATTTTTTTTAAGGATTCTCCGGTGTCGATGATACGCAAGGCCACACAGCCGGTTATCAACTCGCTGCGCATTTTTTAATCTGAGATCGGGATTGAGGAAACACTTCACAGGGACAACGACATTCTCAGGGTCTGACACTCGCTCACCTTTGGAGGGTCGATGGTCTCTGCTGCATTTCCGTTAATTTTTTTTAACGAAAATACCGGGGACTCGCGGATCTCGCGAGGGGATGGAGAGCGAATTCACTTGTGTTGGGGGTGCGTTCGCGGAGATTGTTCGGGAATTTGTGGGGCGGATCAATGCGGTCACCTCGTGATCCAGCCGCCAGGCCGACGTTCAGTGGACTGAGTGCGCTCTCAGCAGTGGGGGACCGCTGAGGAGGGACCCTACCTCTCGACGTTGGGCGTCGCGACGGAGATAAGCACGGTGTCCTCGGACCTGCGCGCGGTGGCAGGGTTCAATAGCTGAACAATCGGTTACAGGTGAATGGGGGGAGGCGCGCGCGCGTGCAGCTTCATGTGAGGGGAATTCCAGAATTCGGTTTTTCTCGGTGGTGGGTCGAACGGAATGGTTTGTTGGAGGGAGTACATGGGTTTTTTTGGAGAGGTTGTAGTAGCGCTTTGCTACAGTCGAAACGGATGTCTGAATTTCACACACATTTTGTTGACATTTCAGGCACTGAAAAACGTCTGAGTAAAATGACAATTGAAGTTCAAACTTGATTGACGATGTTTAGGCACCTGTTCGTCTGAAATTCAGGCAAATTTTTATCTTATTCAGATGTTTTTAGTGTCTGAAAAATGTTTACAAAGATGTGTGAAATTCAGTCATTCGTTTTTACGGTGTAGAAGAATTTTATTCGCGTTTTTATTCAGGTAGAATCAATATTTTTTGGAGAATATAAACACATGGAATCGAAATGAAAAGTTAATTAGGTAGAAATGTAATCGATGTTGAGACGGCGGAGGGAACGAATTTGTTAACATGTAATGATGAAGGTTTTTTTAGTCTAATACAATGGGGTCAGGAATTTTTTGAAATTCAAGTCGGCATTGTTTAATAGGGGCTAGTGATTTTTTTTGGTGGAATCGAACGAAATGGTTTGCTTGAACTGAATAAATGGGTTTATTTGAAGAGGTCGTTGTAACGCTTTTCTAGAAGATTTTTACTTGCGTTTTTATTCAGGTAGAATCAATATTTTTTGAAGAATATAAACCCATGGGTTTTTGGTCGAAATGAAGAGTTTATTAGGTAGAAATGTAATCGATGTTTAGACGGTGGAGGGAACGAATTTGTTAACATGTAATGATGAATGTTTTTTTATTCTAATACAATGGGGTCAGGAATTTTTTGAAATTCAAGTCGGCATTGTTTAATAGGGGCTAGTGATTTTTTTTGGTGGAATCGAACGAAATGGTTTGCTTGAACTGAATAAATGGGTTTATTTGAAGAGATTGTTGTAACGCTTTTCAATAAGATTTATCATTACTTGTGCAAATTCTCAAACTTATCGTGAACATGAAACATCACGTTCAATCAAATTTTCAAACGTTTGAAAATTCAGAGAAATAGTCAATAGAAAGTTGCGATTTCCTTGAATATTCCACAAATTAACAGATTTTTCAGTAAAAAAATCCACATAAAGTTCATGTGAATTAGACGTTCTTCAAAATTTCAAGATTTGTTACTTATTTTTTACATCACAAGTTTTTTAAAATTTCTTTTTTGAAATAAACATTTGAGTTAGTTCATTTCCGAAGAAAAATAATGTCGAAAAAACAGAATAATTTCGAATAAAGAGTTTTATTCGATTCAAATGCGTCATTTCAGTGCTTGTATGAGTTTCTCCTCAGCTTGTTTGTGTTTTGGTGACGGGCAATGTTATGCAGCTTGCGCCATCGATTGCTTCCGGATTTTTTATTGTGTTTATCCTCCGTTGTTTGCGGACGTTTTAGTGACGGAGCTGATAAAGCACGTGATGAACGGGATTTTCAGTGAATCAGTTAGAAAATTGAAAGTGGTGCTTAATATCTGACTCGGACGGAGGGGGCGAGGGAGATTCTTGAAAGGCGTATGTTAATTGATGGGATTTGATTTCCATCGGTTGTTAGCTTAACGAGGTCAGAGAAATTTTTAAGGAACTTTCGTATTCCGTTCACTCGAAATATCGATATGAGGGCCTTTGAAGGTCTGAATGCCGGGGGAATCGTAAGATATTGTGAATGTCGCTGATTCGTTACGATGGGTGGGACTGATTTTTATCAGTTATAGTGGCTGGCGGTGACAATCGATAAAATGTGGCTTTCATCACGTGCGCGTAAAGAGAAAAAAAAATTCCACTTTTCACATAGTGATGAAGCAGTACATTACGTCATCCGGCGGTAAAATGATTATCTGACGAAATTGACTTTATTATCACATGAGTCCGATAATAATTTTATAGTCGTGTGACATAAAATGGGGTTCGGCACTCGTGCGAAAAGTGTTCTCTGACACACCTCCCACTGGTCACAGAACACTTTACGCACTTCTGTCGAGATATACTATTTAATTTTTCATTCACTCGAAATATCCGAAATGGTTGAATGGAGTTTTCGAGACAGGATAATTGATACTCGAATGCGAGGGTGGATTTTCATCAGTAATTGGTGGCTCATGGTGTTCAAGTAATGCGAAAGAATGCACATACACGCTCTCTCCATTGACCTGAGAGAAGCTTCAAATGGAATGGAAATCGCAACATTACGAATATATTTGATTTCTTGTATTCAATTTTAAGGCGGCAATGGGTGGGAGTCATTTTTACCAGTCATAATTGGTAATAGTGGAGAAAATTCGGAGGAATGTGATTCCGCTTTCGTCTCAATGGAAATATCCGAAATAATAAAGATTTCTAAATTTCCTGAGGGATTTATAAAATGTTCATTTTATTTTTTTAGGGACTTGAAAGATTGAAAATGTTGAGGTGTTGACGTTTTGAATAATAATATAATGAGCGAATGAATAAATGAATGACAAATAGATATAGCTAGCTAGCTAGATATTATACCAACCGATCAAAAGCAATTATAATGTAATTAAATGAAAAAAAACAATCTGAGTGGATATTATGAAGACATTTGAATGTAATAGATAGCCTAGTAATTTTATAATATAAGCAGTTTAAATAATCCTTTCCGTCATGAGTATTATTTTGAACTGTTCATTTCATTAATTTCATTATTATACTTTGCGTTTATTTAATTTGATTCTGAAATTGGCCGTGTGCTGTGGGATCTGTATGAAATAAAAATGAAAATGAACTTAAAAAAAAATAATGAAAAATAGTATGGAAATATCTGATTTCTTCCATTTAATTTTATTATGAGAATTAATAAGGATGGGGGGGAGGCATTTTAATTTTTAGATTTTGCCTGAAAAAAAAGAAAAATTGTAAAGATTTCTTGAAAATCAACTGAATGACAATTTGCCACGCGGAAGGTATCGAGAGGACGAGAACATCTGTTATTGCGACAACTCTATAATTGTTCGTCGTGCATTATGATCATTTACTTATCGGCAGTTTGAAGGCAAGACATGCGCCGATGCATTGTGAATGATTTTCCCATTGTTTCCTGGATTTTTAAAAACTTCTTCATTATATCGAGGAAGTTGCCGGCTTTCATTCAGACCCGATGGTTTGTGGAAAGCGAGTGTGGAATGGCATTGAAATAAAAGTGAAACTTAAACGACTATTTCGAAAATATCCGTCTTTATTTAACAGAAAATTATGAAAATATTTCAGAGTGATGATGATTTACTACTGATTATTATCTCAGTTCTAATGAGGAGACACTCAGGAATGAAGAGACGTCTCTTTTATGGTAATCACCAGCGATAAGCAATGTTACATGCGTCTTTACTTTTTATTCGCTTGAGTGACTAGATATCCGGGGACATAATCGATGCTCCGAGGACAGCACTTAGTCTTTGAAGAAGTCAAATGTGAATATCTCATCTTGGGGGCCATATGGTGTCAGTGGGACATCGTAGGGGAGTGGAAATGGGGGTGTGCCTGTCTCATCGGGCTCTTGAATGGGGAATGTCGTTGAATTCGTCTGAAATCACACAATATTTTCAATTATAATCAAATTTACCAAGACAAGAGATAAACTCAATAATTTCATACTAATTATTCCGCATGTGAGTGCATTTTTTCCGGAGGAAAACATCGAGAGACGTTTTAAGTAGTTCATAAAATTTTGAATGTCATTAAATTAATTCCCAAAACGAAAAAAGATACCAGAAATTTTGGAAAGAAGACAACCCCAGCCTCATAACTAAGAATCGTGTTATTAGCCTTCCCTCCCCATCCCCAGGCAGCCTTGCTCATATTAGCACTGGTGATGACCATCCACGGAATCTTCTTAAAATCCGGAGAAATCCTCGTGTAAGATTTGACGTGGGGCATAGCTTGACACCTGGCCTTATCACTCGACTTCCATTGACTGAAAAAAACCCAAGAAAATGAATATTAATCCACAGCCTTAATTGATCTCGACGTAAACAAATGTCATTACAATCTCTAGAGGAGATGATGATCTCTTCTAAACTAATCAGTAATCAATGGTTAATTAGAATGCATAAATTTCCAATTTGGGGGCTTTTAAAATTATTTCCAAGATGTTCCTTTCGAAATAATCCATGAATTTTTCCAAATTTCATTCTATTGCTAAAAAAAATTATTAGCTTTGCAGAGTAGTTAAATTTTCAAAGATATCCAACTAGCCAATTTTTTTCGTTGAAATTCTTTAAAACATTTGCAGTTAACCATCGGACTTTTCATCTGAGGGTCATTCTGCTGCGATTTGCCTCCCCCATTCCCACAAAACCGACAAATGCAAATGAACTGAATAATGAACAGCTTCTTTACGGCCTCTTAAATGATCTCGACATAAACCAATATCATTAGAACCCCTGGAGAAGGTAATGACAGCTGATGATAAATAATTGAAGATAACTCACTGGCAGTAGTTGCTGAGCCACTTCTGCTTGGCATGCAGTTGACCCCCATAAGGTAGACAGCAGCTGCCAACTCTCATATCGAAGGACCGTTTATAGTTCTCAATAGTGGGATAGACAAACTGAAAATTGGGGGCAGACCTGAGGCCCTTCCTGGTCTCACTTGAGAGCGTAGTGACCAGATCGTTTCCTATCCAGGACTGAAAACCAGCCCCAAGACTCCCAATGCTCGAGCACTGAGCCACAACTGGCCATCTGGCCCCATCAGCTGGCAGTTCAGCATGAGAGGACAGCAGAGTTCCCAGCCTCCTCAGCCCCCAGCGATCCCTGTTTCCCTCTTTATGATTCCCAGGAACAGAAGCCAGAAAGAAGACATCAATCGACGAGAAGTCAGTCCTCTCGAGGACGTCTAACCAGTGCTGAACCCTGTTGGGCCCATAATTCTGAAGATAACTGAGGAAGTCCCTCTTGAATCCAGTCTTCGACTCGCCCTCAGTCTTATCAGCACCTTCACGAAGCTCCGGAAGATGAGGAGAGATCCAGAGTGCCTGTGTTCGATTCTGCCAGTCGTCCTCGTACAAATTAGCTGTCGAAACAATTATCCTGACCCCAGTCTTGTACTTCAGGACGGAAATCTTCGAGTGGTGAGTTCCATACTTCGAAGGGGGCTCGACTTTCACCACTTTTATGCTCTCTGGGAGGGGGACAGTGTCACACCTCTGGCCCAGCAGCACCAGCATCTGCGGGGACTGACAGGCGAGTAAGTACTGCAGGCACAACCTGGAATGGAAAATGGTATTGTCATTTATCTCTTTTTACTCCTATGTATCAATTCATTCTGCGGATTGTGTGTACATGTGGCACAATATGTAATTGTAATGTAGTCAACTTAATGATGAAACCATTTTATAATTTTTGGAAGGATATTTTGGAGTTTTCCACATATTTTATTCAACCTCCAAAATGTTTAACTATTGATAATTTTGAGAGAAGTCTTTCTATTAGCAAGCACTGCGACGGTGTCATAATATTTTAGAAATTAATCGACTATCAAAATTCATTGAATTGTACAGGGAACAACGAATTATCAAGTGTTTTGAAATTATTTAACTTGTTCATAGGAAAAGTATATGAATGTTGATTTATGAGTACAATTCATTCTATTGGTATTGTTTCTATAAGAATTCTTGAAAAAGAATTTTCTAAGTGTTTTCTGGTTGGATTTTATTATGCTAACCAAATGAACATACGACGGAAAATACTTTGCAAATTTATTCCCAAGAATTTTTAAAGAAAAACCTAAATATGGGCTTTTTTTCTATCAAATATCTCCTAACGAACAATAGGGTAAAATTCCATAATCTTCAATAGAATTGACGCTAAACCAACTAGAATTTTTAAATATAATTCTAATAGAAATCCAGTAGAATTCCTATAAATAAATACAATAAATTATTTAATACGTGTGACGTAATTTTGAGGTAAAATGTGGGTATTTTGCTTCATATCAAATCAACAAGAAGACTCTGAATGCCACATAAATCGAAAATATTCTCTCATAATTGCTGATTAAAAACTAGACTTGCTCAACTGAACTATTTAAACCCAGTGACATAACAACAAATTCGAAAATTTGTGAATTTATTGTCTCCACTGAACTAAGACTAAATTGATGACTCTACACACCATCCAATGTCCACCATGAAGTTGATGTGGAGGCTCTCCTCGATCTCCCCAAGACTCGTGTCCAGAATTTCCGGGAAGGTGATCGAGTAAGGCTGCGACCACGTCTCCGGTGAGTCCTGCACGGCTGTCAGGAAGACGAAGTAGGGTGAGGACAGTGCGTACTTCATGTCGAATTCTCCCTTGGACCCCATGAAGGGGATCGGTTGGTTCTCCCTTATCATCTGCATCATCGCTGTCTTTCTGAATTCTTCACGAGACTTCAGGGTGGAGCAGGTGTGGTATCTCTCGAAGATCGAGAGGGCTTTCGAAGGGCGAGGGCCTTGAGAGGGAGGGGGAGGGCTCTGGGAGGGTCTGGGGGGAGTCTGGGATCGAGGAAGCTCTCTAGGCTTTTTGGCTTCTGTGGAGTCTGGGGAGTCTATCTCTCGTTTTAGGGAAGGGGCTGCTGGGGAGTTTGTGAGCTTTGAGGTGAGGGTTGAGGGGGTCAGGTGCCTCGTGGATGACACTGGGGAGCCCTGGGGGTTCGAGACGAGGGGAAGGCGGGCAGCTGGAGAGTTCCTGATTTGGGGGGATGGGAGGGCTCTGGCTGGGGACTGAGAGTTTGTGAGCTGGGAGCAGGACATTCTGCCATTTGAGATGGGAATTTCTCTCTCTTTGCGCAGGATCATCTGGACGATCTTCAGCTGGTCCAGGAGGAGGGATCTGTCTCTGCATTCGAAGGCCAGGGAGTCGGGGAGCTGCACTGGGTCTTCTAGTTGATTCTCCACTAAATCCTCCACTGGAAAATAATTTCATGGGGCTGATGAGGAATTCAGTTCGAGATGGGGGAACCCCCATCCATTGATTCCATTGATTTTGTTTTTTTGCTTACAGTGGGGGTGACTCATCTCACTGAAGTGCACAGGATTTTTTCGGTAGCATTTGTCACCGAAGGGACAGATCTGCTTCGTTGGCTGGCTGCTGTTTTTAACTGAGGAGAGAATAATTGTTGGGAGATGTGGGACAAGAGGTTCAGTGCTGAGGTTATTTTGAGGTGCTTGGTTACCTGGAGAATCCATTTCCGAAGGTGGAGGGTGCGATGGTCTGTTGGTTTGGGTTCCTCTGGGGGCTTTTTCATGGGCTGGTTGTATTTTAGGGGTAATGGAATTTTTATTGACGGCGGTTTGCGTGAAGACCGGCTTCAAGCTGGAACTTGTCTGTTGCGCAGTGTCTCAGACAGTAGAATAGGTTGATAGAGGGGTTCTCGTTTTTAACGACTACTGGAGGGTCAGGGAGAAGAGCGTCCATCGGTAATTTACCTACTGGGGCAAAATTTGTTTGAATGTGGAATTGGGGAAGAAGGGGATTGAAAATTATGTGGAAATTTAAATCTTTATTTAATTTTGAGGGGGTTTGTGGATTATTTAAAAAATTGTGGGGATGCTGTGGAGTTTTTTCATGGACGAAAAATTTACTGCAATTTGATGCACAATTTTAATATGCACTATGGGATTTCAAGGTAATAAAGTTGTTGGAGTGGAAAGAACTACATTTTCGTGAATTTTCAAAAGTAATTTTACATTTGATCGATCAAATATTCCATTGATTTTCTGTTCGAATGATCTGGAAATCAATAAAATACTTGATTTTTCAGTTTAATTATTCTGTGAAAATTCATAAAAATCAAGAAAATTCAATTCAATTTCACTCTCATGAGATTTAGGGGAGGCTGAGTAAAACGGACACTTTTGACTTTTTTTAAATGTTAATGAGGGGTTGAAATGTTGATAAAATTTAATAATTATTTTTTCAATACAAAGAACAATTCTTTCCCTTTGTGACGAGCCTAAACTGAGCTCAATTGATCAATTTGTTTCTGAGTTATGAATAATTTAAAAAAAGTCTAAAGTGTCCATTTTACCCCACCCTCTCCTACTATAACATCTTCCATAAAATTTCAAAAAATTTCCAACAGTGAAGTGAATATTATTGCCTAATGTATATCATCCAATAAACACTTATAATTTCCACGGAATAACTGACAATTTCAAGAGGAAACTACAAATTTCTAGCCGAAAACTGTATTATTGGCAAAACGAAATAATTTCGAGGGGACAATTTTTTTTGAGGGAAAACATATTCTTTCCTCGTCAATGTATTCTTCCTAAAGGTATAAACCTATACAGTTCTCCAGAATAGATTATATTTTTTCCTGCCAAGAGTTCGAATCCTTCTATTGATATTTCTGATGATCACGACAAAACTTTACATGATGTTCACTAAAACTTGATGGAATTAATTATGCGCATCTCGTCTAGAGATGAATAAACTGAGAATTAGAATGTCAACTATTTTCTCATACAACTGGAAAAGCACGGATCGACATACTGGAAACATTTCCGCATCTCGAGAGTCTTCAAGACAAAACTGTGATGGAAGTTCAAACACTGTCAGGAACTCATTCCATAACACGGAAATCCACAGCCGTCAGACACACCTTGCTCCTTGGCTAAAACCACCCATCACCTGAGAACCTCCCCGGGAAGTCTCCAGAGGTGAGCATCAGACAATGCCATTGTCCCTCGTCATCCCCAGGGGCACAATTAACCCGAGCTCCTAAGTATAATTACCCCGAGTCCCAACTCCACCATGCAAGTGTATTCGTGCAATTAGGAGTGAGTGGGGCAGAACGGAGCGACTTTAATCTTCAATAATTCGACATTGATGGAGAGGAGTTCAACGAACCTTGCCCTATTTATGCACAAAGAAGGAAAACTTTCATTTTCTCAGAAATTTTTTTTTTTAATTTTAAAATTTTCAAAATTTTAAAATTTTAATTTTAAAATTTCACAAAATTTTTTTTTAATGGATCCGTCATTTTTAGAATTTTATCCCCCTCTTCGGGGATCTATATCTCTAATTTCAAGGATTTCAAATCAGAGAATCGCTGATTAAATAGTTACAAAGATGTAAAACGCACCATAAATCCTCCTCTCCTCAATTCGCAGGAACAACAGTCTCTCTTAAATCTAGTTTAATTCGTGAATAAACAATCCCCTCGTGTCGTTCCCATCACTCAACGAATGTATCTCGGCAATTCTAAAGATCCATTTCTCACCCTCTGCTGTTATCGTTCTGAAAGCTAACCGCGATCTCGCAAAAGAACACGGGAAAAAAACATCATTATTTCAGCTCTCCCAACGGATTCTACGTGATCCGCAGAATCCCATCGTCTCCTTATTTACAACTCCTCTATTCCAATTTTTCAACGGCAGGAAGCTGAAAACTCCCCAAATTACCGCGAATTTTTGGTTAATTGGAAATTCGAAAATACGTTTTATCTGAATTTTCCTGATTTCTGATAATCTGTATGCAATAAATGAACTGAAATTTACTACTTTAATCAATTTTTTTATCAAATTATTAATTTTTAATGAGGAAATTCCTTGAAATTCCAGTGGAATTTTCAGTTAATAAAAATTCCCAACAGTTCAATTATTCCATGATGTCACAAAGATGGAAAACGTTTCATTAATTTCTCCTCTGTAATTATTCCTCAAAATCAGACGTGTTTTTGCAATTTGCAGGAACAACAGTCTTTAATAGCTCTACCTCAACTCCTGAAAAAAATTCCCCCCGTGTGCTCAGCAATTCCGAAAAAAATTTCTCACCCTCTGCAGTTATCATTCCGAAAGCGAACCGCGCTCCCGCAAAAATGCACGGAAAAAACATTTCATTATTTCAGCTATCTCAACGGTTTCTACGTGATCCGGAATATCCAATCATTTCCTTTTTTACAACTCCTGTGTTCACACTTTTCCAAAGCAGGAAGACGAAAATTCCACAAATTACCTTGAATTTTCCACTCATTGACAATTAAAAAGTACGCGTATGCGATTGTTTCTAATTCATTCTAATCTGTATGCAATCATTAAACTGAATTTTACTATTTTCCTCGATTTGTTCATCAAATCATTAAAAGAAAAATCATTTACTCCTTTCCTTGGTAGATGTTCCTTAAAATAAGACGTGTTTTTATGAATTCGGAGGAAAAACAGTCTTTATTAGCTCCACGTCAATTCGTAAAAAAAATTCCCCCCGTATGCTCAGCAATTCCAAAAAAAACTTCTCACCCTCTGCTGTTATCATTCTGAAAGCAAACCGCGCTCCCGCAAAAATGTACGAAAAAAACATTTCATTATTTCAGCTATCTCAACGGTTTCTACGTGATCCGGAGTATCCAATCATTTCCTTTTTTACAACTCCTCTGTTCACACTTTTCAAAAGCAGGAAAACAAAAATTCCACAAATTACCTCGAATTTTCCACTAATTGACAATTAAAAAGTACGCGTATGCGATTGTTTCTAATTCATTCTAATCTGTATGCAATCATTAAACTGAATTTTACTATTTTCCTCGATTTTTTCATCAAATCATTAAAAGAAAAATCATTTAATCATTTCCTTGGTAGATATTCCTTAAAATAAGACGTGTTTTTATGAATTCGCAGGAAAAACAGTCTTTATTAGCTCCACGTCAATTCGTAAAAAAAATTCCCTCCGTATGCTCAGCAATTCCGAAAAAAACTTCTCACCCCCTGCAGTTATCATTCCGAAAGCGAACCGCGCTCCCGCAAAAATGTACGAAAAAAACATTTCATTATTTCAGCTATCTCAACGGTTTCTACGTGATCCGGAGTATCCAATCATTTCCTTTTTTACAACTCCTCTGTTCACACTTTTCAAAAGCAGGACAACAAAAATTCCACAAATTACCTCAAATTTTCCACTAATTGACAATTAAAAAGTACGCGTATGCGATTGTTTCTAATTCATTCTAATCTGTAGGCAATCATTAAACTGAATTTTACTATTTTCCTCGATTTGTTCATCAAATCATTAAAAGAAAAATCATTTACTCATTTCCTTGGTAGATATTCCTTAAAATAAGACGTGTTTTTATGAATTCGCAGGAAAAACAGTCTTTATTAGCTCCACGTCAATTCGTAAAAAAAATTCCTCCCGTATGCTCAGCAATTCCAAAAAAAACTTCTCACCCTCTGCTGTTATCATTCTGAAAGCAAACCGCGCTCCCGCAAAAATGTACGAAAAAAACATTTCATTATTTCAGCTATCTCAACGGTTTCTACGTGATCCGGAATATCCAATCATTTCCTTTTTTACAACTCCTCTGTTCACACTTTTCAAAAGCAGGAAAAGAAAAATTCCACAAATTACCTTGAATTTTCCACTAATTGACAATTAAAAAGTACGCGTATGCGATTGTTTCTAATTCATTCTAATCTGTATGCAATCATTAAACTGAATTTTACTATTTTCCTCGATTTGTTCATCAAATCATTAAAAGAAAAATCATTTACTCCTTTCCTTGGTAGATATTCCTTAAAATAAGACGTGTTTTTATGAATTCGCAGGAAAAACAGTCTTTATTAGCTCCACGTCAATTCGTAAAAAAAATTCCCCCCGTATGCTCAGCAATTCCAAAAAAAACTTCTCACCCTCTGCTGTTATCATTCTGAAAGCAAACCGCGCTCCCGCAAAAATGTACGAAAAAAACATTTCATTATTTCAGCTATCTCAACGGTTTCTACGTGATCCGGAATATCCAATCATTTCCTTTTTTACAACTCCTCTGTTCACACTTTTCCAAAGCAGGAAGACGAAAATTCCACAAATTACCTTGAATTTTCCACTCATTGACAATTAAAAAGTACGCGTATGCGATTGTTTCTAATTCATTCTAATCTGTATGCAATCATTAAACTGAATTTTACTATTTTCCTCGATTTTTTCATCAAATCATTAAAAGAAAAATCATTTACTCCTTTCCTTGGTAGATGTTCCTTAAAATAAGACGTGTTTTTATGAATTCGGAGGAAAAACAGTCTTTATTAGCTCCACGTCAATTCGTAAAAAAAATTCCCCCCGTATGCTCAGCAATTCCGAAAAAAACTTCTCACCCCCTGGAGTTATCACTCCGAAAGCGAACCGCGCTTCAAAAATGCACGAATAAAACATTTCATTATTTCAGCTATCTCAACGGTTTCTACGTGATCCGGAGTATCCCATCGTCTCCTTTTTACGACTCCTCTGTCTCTCGTCACTTCAATCCCCGACGTATTTAGGACGAACCCAGTCGGATAAAAGGAATTCCTCACCTCAAAAGAAATATTTCAATAACAAATTTTTAT